CGACTCAATGTGACCGGCATACGAGCGATGCTGCAGATCAAGGATGGCCCGGCGGCCGCAAGTCGAGCTTTTCATCGAGACGCTGGATGATCGAGATCCGCCGCGTCAGCTGGTGCTGCTGCGGGTGACCGACTCTGAGGATCTGGAGGAGACACTACGGGCGTGACCACGGCCGAAAGCCCGCCAAGGGAAAACCCATGCGGGAACAAACAAGTTCCGGCAGAAGGCTCCACCAGAACCTCCGTCAGCCTCCTCGAAGAATATGCGAGCAGTACGAGCGATACGTGTAGCAGAAGGCAGCAGTGAGTCGGAATCGGATGTGAGTACCTTGGATCAAGAAGACGAATGTCGTCGCATGTACCTTGCGGAAGCCAAATACCGGGAGAACCACACGATCACGCCGACGCACAGAGACGGCACAGTCGATCATCCCATAATGTCCCAGAAGAACTGTACCCACTGCGGATCAACGAAGCACAACAACCTGGGTTGCTGGAAGCGGTGACGTGCCAAAAGTGCGGCAGGAAGAGCCATCCATCCGATCATTGTCTTTTCGTCTATCGCGCATGTGGAGAGATGCATGAATCCGGAAAGTGTCCGATGGAGGAGTTCTACAACTTGATCCGTCAATGGTACATCCCGACCAAGCATGCGGGAATGTTGCCAGCTAATGCCGAAAAGATGCTAAATTAGAACGCTCGCCAGGTTGGAATCTAGTACGAGCCGGGCGTTCTGAGATCCGCATTTATGCATACGTCGAGAAGCGGAAGACACGGAAGGTTAGTAAGCTGACCGACAATACATGTGAATTGCACGAGAAGCGTACGTTTACAGTCGCAAGTTCGTGAGAGAATGATTATTCTCGATCTGATGTGATCATGGAACTGGGCATACGACCAGGAGAATCGCTAGGGTACTGGAAGTACCACGCTCCAGGTAAATGGTTCAAGCAAGCCAACTCAACCGCCAAGATCAACAACAAAAAGGCCACACTCTTTTCGACTCTGGAGCTGAAGTCTTCATTGTGGATTCTACTTGTGCTCGTAAGGTCGGATGCGCTATAGACGACAGCCAAAAGCAAAGTGTGTTGGCATTAGAGAAAAAGCGTATATGACAGAGGGACGCACCCGGATCAAGATCACGCTCGCGGGAGCGTACGTGTACTACTTTGACGCTTGGGTCGGAGAACTGTCAGGTCAGGAGGCGATATTAGGGATGGATTTCAATGTACCGGCAGGAATCCGCCTTGACATGGCCGACGGGTCGCTGTACCTCCCGGATGAAGTAAGGATCCAGCTGTCCGGGCGTCGTCGGCTCTTTACCGGAAGCTCAAGGTTGCTCACCTTCGATTAACACTACAAGATCCCGGGTGCAAGGTCGGTGGAGATCGCCATTCCCAGATCTGTGTCTGACAAACAGAAACTGTGGGTCACCCGTGGAGAACAGTGGGTACCGACCGCAATCAAGGGAATAGGCCGTACACAGAACCTGCGTATAACAAATGTGTAAGAACGATCAGTGACGTTACAACTCGATACTAGAGTCAGTATCTGGCTGTCAGGAGAGTACGTACCGCGAATGCCAGGTTTTGTCTCGATCGGGTCACGGAGACACGCTGAGTGTCAAAACTTGGCTCTGCAAGCCACCACTGAACAGCAGGCTGGTCGGAACTGCGACAGAACCAATGGTATACAGGCCCCAATACGAGCCGCCGACCAAGATCCTATCGGGTAGACAAGAACACCGGACGGCGATGATCGTCCTGTCGGTGTCTGCAAAGGAGTCGAACACTGCACAAGATATCGCGGGCGAAGAGTCGGCAGGGTTTCAACCGAAGGAAGAGGGTCGTATCAATACGACTTAACCAAAGGAAGAGACCAAGAGTGATCGAGAACAGCCGCGATCAACGGAACAGAGAGGGACGCAAGCTGAACCAGAAGAAGAAGCTGACGACGACATGGATGACGCTGTCTGCTATCGTGAAGGGGAAACATCTTCCCTGAAGACATCGAGAATAACATGGCTGTCCTGCCGGAAGTAGATGCTACCACGAAGGAAGTCACCATCAATGATATACGAGTAGATGACCCGCACGCGACCTCGGAGGAACATGGGCGACTGCGTCGCATCATCTGGAAGCGCCGCCACTTGCTGATAGAAGCCGGTAACGCTCTACCACCGGTCGCCTACGGAGCTATTTGCGACATTCATGTCGGAACTGCAAACCGGTAGCGCAACGCTGTCGATGGGTAGCGCCACAATGTCGCGAGAAGCTGTCAATGCTCCTCAAGGGACTGCTATCGGTTACGATCATCACTACATCCACCCCGTCTAGGGCGTCACCCATCGTAGTCATCATCAAGGCTAACGGGGTCGACATCCACCTCTGCATCGACTACCAGGTGGTGAACAGCCTGATGAGACTGATGGTGTATCCCATGCCGTTGATCAACGACCTCCTCGAAGATTTAGATAAGGCGCTATGGGATTGCTCCCTTGATATGGCCAGTGGTTTCTGGGTGGTATCAATGACCTCGCGAGCAAGGCTGGTGTCAGCGTTATTATACCGTTTGGGCTGTTCGAGTGGACGAGGATGCCGTTCGGGTTGAAGAACGCCCTCAGATCTATCAACGAACCGTCGACAATGCATTATACGGTCACATGCGTATCAAGCCTGATCAGGATAGATCGAACCCCGTTGACGTCTTCAAGGAAGGAGAGCCGGAGCCGGAACTTAAGCCATCGGTACTCGTGCGGAGGTCATACGTGGACGACATCCTTGTGACCGGCGACACTTGGGAGAGCATGTCCAACAGTGTCGTCAAGCTGTTCGGCATCTGTGACCGGTGGGACATGTCAATCAGCGTAGCTAAGAGCTACTGGGGTCGACGCAAGGTGGCATATCTGGGACACGAAGTATCCTCAGCCGGTCTGGAAGCAAAACCGAAGGAACTCGAAACAATCGCCAATCTTCCTTTCCCCACAAAGTTGAAAGGGATGCAGTCATTCCTCGGAAGCTTGACTTATTACAGTCGTTTCATTGAGGACTTCGCAGTCTACGCCGTGATCCTGTACGAGCTGCGGGAAGCGGACTGTCACGAAATCGCCAGGATGAACTCAGAAGGGACTCAGAAGACGCGAGCTGATGACGGCCTAATAACTGGGGGCGAGCGCGATAGGTGGGCAAGAGCGAAGAATGTATTCACTATGTTGAAAGCAAAGATTATCGTCACGCCAGCCTTGAAACACTTTGACCCAGAACGTACTCCCGTCATCGTGCTCTATGCAAACAAATGGGCTATATCGGCAGCATTGATGCAGGAACCCGAAGGTGTATACCATCCGGTGACCTCCACCAGTCGCACGCGGAAGGCAAACGAACTCAACTATGAAGTGATAGATAAAGAGATATTGGCTCTTCTGTGGATCTTGTTACTCACAACTGATAACCAGCTCGATCAAGGTCCTATCGCGATTCTCAACCTTGGCCTGGTTGCTCAAGTCGAATGGGTTTGACGGTCGATTGGGTAGGTGGACAGCACTGCTATCAGGATGGACGTTGGAGGTCACCAAATGTGTAATAGGTGAAGAAGAAATCCTTGGAACAATCGTAGCTAGCATCACTCCCAGCGTCAATGTGGATGAAGCCCTAGTCGTGTTAGCACCAAAGAAACAGCCACGCAAAATGATCACCATGCCACCGCCGACGATCGAACAGGACGAGAATCTCTTGGTGGTAAGTTCTGATGGATCTGCGCGAGTAAAACGCAGTGGCGGCTCGTGTAGCGCAGTCGTCTGGAAACCCCCGGAATGGACGGTCGTAGAGGCCATGTTGGAGTACATGCCTGACTTGATGGTGAACGAGGCGAAATATCGTGGAATGATACTTTGTTTCGATTTGCTCTCGACTTTGGACAGGCGGCGCGTCGTAATTTGTGGTGACTCGAATTTGGTGATTCGTCAGATGCAGAGTGAGATGGACTGCAAAGCACCAGGCTTGTAACTGCTCCGACAGAAGACACAAAACCGGCTGCGTTCATGGCCGAAACATGAGTTCCTCCTCGTGAAGCATGAATGGAATCAGAGTGCTTACAAGTTAGTAAGTGCGGCGTTACAACGGGAAGAAGGTGAAATAATCACCTCAGAAGACGACCGTCAAGATTGGATCACCTTCAACCGACTGGGCGAGATGCTAAAACCAAAGCTGATTGACTCAGTCGTCCGCGTAAATGCAATCTCCCGATCCGCTTAGAGACGACGTCACGCACCGAAAGCGATGGAAGAGTCTATCATACAACGCATACGGTGTCAGGGGATCAGGCAGGCTCAGGATGAAGAAAAAGGATGGAAACCTGAAGAAGTACCTGTACGGGGAGGTGAATGCCTTGACGGCAGAAGAGGCGAAGACATGTTCGAAGATTGCTGCAAATTATGAAGTAGACGAAAATGGGCTGCTCTTCTTTTGCCCCAAAACGCTGCAAGGTGACGAACACCGCGATGGAGTCGTCAGGATGGTGGTACCCGAGAGCTTGCAGGGATATTTCCTTCACCATTATAATGCCAGTCTGGAAGGAGACCAGCAAGGTGTCGGAAGGATGTACCGGAGGATCCAAGTGAACTTTCACTGGCTTCGGTTGTATCAAAGTGTACAACATTACGTAGGGGAGTGCACCGATTGTGAAACCGGGAAGGAAACGCCAACGGGTCAGGGAGAGTTACCAGGGAATATACAGGGCACGTATCCTTTTCAGGTGATCTCCATGGACCACATTCCGTCTTTGCCGAAGTCATTCAAGGGGAAGACCGAGCTGCTGATTTGGGCCGACTTGTTTACGGGTTATGTAATCGCCAAAGCTGGACCGTCGAGAGAGTCGCAGGCAGTGGCCGAGAATTACGAAGAATGTATCTTCGGTCGTTTCGGCGCAAACGAAGTCATCAGGCATGATCGAGATCCGGGCTTTATGTCAGATTTTTTTCGTGCCTTCAACCGTATCGTGAAGATGAGGCAGAGTGCAGCAATAGCTTATCGTCCACAAGGGAACGGCAAGGCCGAGCGGGCGGTGCAAACCCTGAAACGAGCCCTGAAGATGTATGTTGCAGATGTCAACCAGCAAGATTGCGACGACTACGCAGAGCGGCTGATGTTTGCGTTGGATACGGCACATGATCGAGTGAGAGGAGAGATGTCGTTCTTTCTGGTCCATGGAAGGGATCCGCGGTCAACACTCGAAGCGGTTATTTCGGTAGTATTGACACGTCGCCGCGATCGCGATGCACGAAGGTGGAGAGGTACCACATACAGAGACAGTATCGCAGGGCCAGGGAAGTGATCAATGAGAGTCTGCGCAACGCGATCAAGTCTAGGGCTGACCAACATAACGAAAACGTTAGACCACACCGGATTGAAGAGGGCACACAGGTATGGCTTTACCTGGATCGCTTAAAGGAAGGTTACGCACGTAAGCTCGCACACATGTGGCATGGACCATTTCGCGTAATCGAGTTGGTTGACAACCACGCAGTCCGTCTCGAGACCATCGGTTCAGGGTATCGCATCTTCCGGATAGTGCACCTGTCGAAATTGAAGCCAGTGCGAACATTCCCAGATCGACCAATAGTTGTCTTGAACACCGAAGATATTGACTGGGTGGATTTCGATGAAGAATTGTTGCCGGACAATAGCTTGGAGACTCCACTGAACGAGGATGAATTCGAAGTGGAACGGATCGCGGATATGCGATCAGGAAGACGTACTCGCTATGGGCTGGTGCACCGAGAGTTCCAGGTCTATTGGAAAGGCTATGACCAGCCGGCATGGGTGGACGAGGCCGATCTTAATTGCGCCCGCCTTGTTGTACGAATACGATCGTGGGCGTGCCAGCCGCAACCGTTTCAATGTGATGCAATCGCATGAAGAGGGGACGGATGCTGATTAAGGCATCAGCGAGCTGAGGTCGTGTGTGGGGTGGCCACACACTGGGGGATAGGTATTTGTATAATGCGTGGAGAGCACCTGGTCACAATCGGGGGAAAGAAAGAGGAACATCAGAAGTTAGAAGAGAAGTCCAAATGATGGGTGGCACTACGTACCTCGGGTTGATGGACAGATATCGACGATCACGACCGATGACCAAAGTCGATGACCAAGATTGATGATCGAAATCGATGATCGAGATAGCTGATCGAAGTCACTGATCCGGATCGACGATCCGGATCGATGATCAAGATCACTGATCGAAATCGACAATCGAGATAGCTGATCGAAAAACGATGGTCAGGATCGATGATCTGGACGAATGACCTGGATCGATGGTCAGGATCGATGACCTGGATCGATGATCTCGATCGATGATTGACGTGAACGGTCGGAGTTGATGATCGAGCCGATGATCGGAGGGTAAGAAAACTGTGAACCAAGCCATGGGGGCGGAGATCAAAAGCGGGAGCTGTCAGAAGGGCGACTACTGCTGCGTGAGACGGTGTACAGAAGAGATGTTGGAGACGAGAAGCCATGATCAGGGATGGAGCATCTCTCCATTGCCCCGAGCAAGGAACATCCAAGACGGTCAACAGGTCACCAACACATGGGCCCACAACTACAAGGCAGGAAAGGTTAGCGTCGAAACAACGAATGAACCAGCTCAACACAGCATAATACGAACAAGATCAAGACGGACGCAGTTAAGAGACGCAGGGCACCAGCCATGTTGATCAATTTGCCCGAACAAGAAGCTACCCCAGAGAAATGAACTTGCCCTCAAGACGAGGGAGTTGGGGCCCGGGATGATCTTTGATAGCGTGGCGAAACTGGTTACGCCAAGGATTTTGGCGGTCAACGTCACGAAGAGCTTGAAAAAAAGTTAACAGGCCGCGGGTTACAATGCAAGCCAGGGTACCACTTCGACCGCCCACCAGCGCGCGGAAAACGGAGGAAAATGGGATCCAGCAGAATGCCAAGGTCACAGTGTCCAGCCACGATGCTCAATAATACGAACTTCAGGAAGCTCTTCCAAGCAGTGTCAAAACGTGACCGATGTTGTCTGCGGTCCACGTAAAGGATCGCAAAGTATTTGACGGCACGCCGCAGTTCTTCCGAGATAGGGAAGAAATGGGTGGATTCCCACGCAACTTGACAATGTTTCGTCTGCAATTCTTCCAGTTTCTTTGACAGGGTCTGGAAGGGGGGACTATTCTTTACAAAGGAGATGGGCGTCACTGGGTTTGCGAGGACCCGCCATGGATGGAAGCGTAGATTGCCAAAACGTTACTTTCGTCCAAAAGCTCCACGTCCCAATCGGAGTCCCTAGGCACCTTCTCTTGCTTCGGAAATAGTCAGTTGGGAGGCTTCGAGAAGCGGCTGAACAGCATTGCGACGTCAAGTCCAAGTACGCTGATTTGCGAGACATCCAACAACGGTCAGGGAGCTGCGTCAGCTACAGAAAAAAACTACGCGAGTACGGTATCCAGGGAGTCAGTGCGATCGGTCGACACGAGTTGCAGGTAACTGGGCATGTGAAGCAGGCGTCAACAACTCGTTGCTGGACACCAGGTTAGACCCACTGCCTGAATCGGTCGCTACAGAGTCACTGGTAGTGTCAACACCAAAGACTCTTCTGCCATCAACAGGTGTCCTAGCGCTGTCGGCACGAGTGTTATCACCATCGGTGTCGTCTGCGTCCAACTCAATCGGCTGATCGCTCGCAGTGCCAGCGAGATCAGACGAGGCCGGAAGAGGTGTCGAGGCACGACGACCCGATAGAGCACTCATCACAGAGTCATCACTGCCGACATCACGGTGGTGATCGACCGAGCCGAGCTACGCATCGCCACGTCGAAGACGACTCAGCGATGGACCTGAAGGCGAGGCGAGAGGCGGTGATGGATCTGCATCGTCACGACGAGGAGGACGTAAACCGCGGAGAGTGGTAGTACCGTGACGTCCCGGGAAATCAGCACCGCCAGAGACGGACACGTTGTCATTAGCACTGGAAGGAACAAACTCCGAAGAATGGTCGTTATGGTGAGGGGATCCATGCCGGGATTTCGAATGCGGAGGAGGCGTGACAGTGTCAGGATCATGAGCGGAACGACGTTTGCGGTTGACTCGTTCCTGGGGTCGATCGCCAGTGCAGAACAAATCGGCAACAGGAGCCTCTGCCGTAGAGGCGACAGCCGGGGCCGGTTGCGCCAAAGATATTAGACCCGCGACTTGGGAGCACAGTGCAAGTAAGTCGAGAGAGACTTGATCGCGCTCTTCCTCAGCGACGTGACGAGCTGTCTCGGCCTTCAAAACGTGGAGAGTCAACGCGCCGTTCTCGCGAGAGATGGCTTCTACCTTTTGTTGAAAAACGCCAACTTGGACCTGAAGAGTATGGAACTCATACTGGTCCACGCGTGCCGCATCACCGTCTTGCTCCAGCCGGACGACGTCATCTTGAAAGAATTCGCTCGCAATTCTATGGACAAGGAAACAGTGTTAGCGATGGGACGGAATCAGACCAGTGTCAGACGTACGAAGGGCTTGAGACACAGCGACAGCTTTGTCACGCGTCGCAGTCATCTCGTCCAGCTCCATGGTGAGACGACGCGTGGCGGATTCAGCTACAACAGCCGCATTGCTAAGTTGGTCCCGTTCCTCGCAGGCACTCTGGTAACGGGCCTGTGTGCGACCGAGCCGAGCCTCCAATTTGCTGACGTGGCGCTGAAGGCGGACTTCTGAGTCCTCCAATTTCTTCAGGTAGACCTCATGGGCCCGAATCGTGTTCTCCGCGCTGTGGAGAGCGACTCCTTGGTTCCGTAAGGCGACGCGGGTGGTGCGCAAGTCGACCTCCAGCTGATCGCATTTGCGATGGAGAGGAGCAAGGCGGCGCACGAACTGCCGCAACTCGGAGACGCTGCAGCTCCTCGAGGTAGTCACTGAGGGTCGTCTGAAGGCGAGTCCGCAAATCTAGGAGCTCAAGCGAATCATCGTGACGCCTCTGCCGTTCGTCCAGCGCCTCTCCAAGGTCCACCTGGGCCTGATTGCGCTGACAACGCACAACAGCATACTTGTGCTCCACGAACTAAACAAACGGCCGAGCAGCAGCGAAGTTGTCTTCGATCTGTTGCTCCAACTCACGAACGCGAGCTTGCTGGTCGCGACAGACGAGCTGCAGTGCATGATGGTAGTCTAACGCGCTGGCATGGCTTACCACGGCCGCGAGTTGATCCAAAGCTCCGCGGACGGCGGCCATGTCCAGCGCAGGTGGCACAAGGGGTAACGCGGGCGGCACGGAAGGCGGAGGCAACGCGAGAACGTGAGGACGGGACGCTGTGGAAACACATACAGAAAGATGAGTGGTGGTCGCAACAAAGGGCTACACACTAGTACACACACCAGAAACGGTGTCTGCGGCAAACGAGTGCGCACTAGTGCAGGGCACACCAGAGTTGGATGAAGGTGTGGGTGATTTGGACGGCATAACGGTCGATCAAAGTCAAATGGTGGAAGATCCGCAAGTATGGGTGTGGCAGTTAGGGGTTCGCGTGCGAATGAACCGCTGTACGGTCCAGGTGGAAGATCCGCAAGTATGGGTGTGGCAGTTAGGGGTTCGCGTGCGAATGAACCGCTGTACGGTCCCGTTGCACGCGGGGCGATTGATGTGGAGTGACCACGGGATTTTGATCAAGTGCAGCCGGATCCCTATGATCGTAGGAAAGGTGAGGATGGGTGCAAGACGTGTCGCACATGGTGTGACGTACATACCAGTTGAAGTTGGCCATGTAACCCAAACCCTGACCTACACCTCGATCTTCGATCAACGAGAGAGACCTCGATCATCGATCACCGATCAGTGATCAACAAGAGGTGTTTCGATCAACGACCATCGATCAACAGGAGGGGGGTCGAATGACGCAGGTTGGATGGGCAAGGCTGATATGGATACAAGGGTATCATGTTTACGACAAATGTAGGCACAGTTCGGAATGAGTGGTTGTGGAGATAGGCTAGGAAGAGATAGACAGACTTCAACATATTCTTTGGACCTCACACATTGGACCCCTCTGCTTTAGCCACGTGGCAACCTTTACCAGGCTGGGAACGTATATTGGTCCACCTGAAGATCAAGGATATCACCCTGCTTTGCATGAGAACAACTCGTCGACCCCTACACCGCTTGACTAGGCTCGACCAAACACCCCCTCAAGGATCCCGCTATCTGAAGCGTCAAGCAGCAGAAAGGAACAAGGACACACACAAGGACACTTAGATTGGTCATCTGATCTACACACGATACCAGACCGCCGCGTGAAGAAGTATCCGCGTGGCAGTCAACAATCTCAAGTACCATCCATACGGTTCCCACGACCAACACCCAAGGCATACTCAAGTCACCGGAAGAGCCCACCGACAGGTACACAAGGTGAGAAAAACCTCAGCGTCAGCGGACATTCGGAGTACCCCAAGTACCCCTTCCGTTAGTCGGTCGTCCGAGGCACTGTAGCGAGCTGGGCCAAAGCGGTCAGCAATTTCTGCTAAACTACTCCGCCACAATGGGGCACGTGCCCGGGTCTTATGGTGACTCACAGGGATTTCACCGTGAGTCCGACGAAGATGCCACAAAGATCAAGTTGGAACCTGGGATTGAGGCGTCAGCGAAAGGTGTATCGCTGCAGACGCTGCTGAGTGAAGCAAAGTCAGAGCGCTAGGAGGTGCTCTGACCGTGCCAAGGAGGAAGGTTCCGACATGGACCTGGAAGAGCAACCTCGCCCTCCTCCCCAGGATCCCTTGGGAGCCCCCGTGGACCGTGACATAGGTCGCTATCCGCCGGGAAAAACTCGGACAGGGCAAGCCGAATGAACCTCACCCACAAACACCCCGTCGGCCTCGCGCGACGCCGTGGAGAGAAAGAATCCGAAGTCAGATCGAACGCAACTGAAGGCACCTGACTCCGATACGAAGGACCGCGGGGACCAACAATGGATCAACGAAGATCTGGCGCAAACCTTCTACAAGAAAGGCCTCTTCTTATTCTTGCTAGACGACCCAGTGATGAAGGTCCTAAGCCCGACGTTGATCGGAGAACTCCAAGGTCCGACGCTGGAACCAGCGGAGACGCCCCGACAGTTAGAGGCGGCGACCCAACTTTTGCGAATGCTGAAAGATGTAGGCATGGCGTTCAATGCGAGTGAGCTTGTCGATCTGGAGACGTCGGTAATCCAACGCTCGGCGAGAACACTGCACGAAAAGCTGGAACCGCTGGTCGGGTCAGTCATACAACGCGAGCCGGTCAAGCTGACACCGACCCGTAACCCAGAAAATCAGACAGGGTCGTCGCAGTACGCGTCGGCCACGTCGGAAGCAGAATCGGACAGCTCCGCTGATCTGCAGCGGATGCCGCTTGGTCCGTCCGGAGCAGAGACGGTACGGGATCGCCAGACTAACACTAAGCCTGATCGATCCCCATATAAACCGACACCCATGGACGCACCGGCACTGACGTGAAATAGCCCAGAACAGATGCAGACCTTCTTCAACGCAGCCATGAACTGATACCTCAAGGAGAAACAAACCGAAGGGTTGGTACCAACGGCCAGTCGGCACACGACAAACAACAAAGACGTGGAGATGGAATTAAGTGGAGCCCCAATACGACTCACACGGAGAGTATGATCCGGACAACCTGAACATCGACACACCTCGACAAGCAGTGATCGGATCCGCAGGAGCGACCTCTGCACCCTCGACGACGACGCCACGTATACGAGTGTCAGCGATCTCGGAGTTGAAGGAATACTCTGGCAAAGATCACGACGAGGACCGCGCGAGGAGTTGGCAGGGCAAAGTGAAGTCCGCGTTCGTCCGCGATCAAGCTCCAGACAGCGAAAAATGTTTGGTGCTGAGTGATCTCCTCACGGGACCAGCTCGAAACTGGTACCGGCAGTTGAGTCGATCAACGAAGAGTAACCGGAAGAGCTTGTTTGAGGCGTTCCAGACGCGATACCGGGGGAGAGGAGTGTCTGGCATGAGACCGTACTACCAGGCCAAGAAACTTTCGGACGCGTTACCCATGGCATGCCTCCACCGACTCAATGTGACCGGCATACGAGCGATGCTGCAGATCAAGGATGGCCCGGCGGCCGCAAGTCGAGCTTTTCATCGAGACGCTGGATGATCGAGATCCGCCGCGTCAGCTGGTGCTGCTGCGGGTGACCGACTCTGAGGATCTGGAGGAGACACTACGGGCGTGACCACGGCCGAAAGCCCGCCAAGGGAAAACCCATGCGGGAACAAACAAGTTCCGGCAGAAGGCTCCACCAGAACCTCCGTCAGCCTCCTCGAAGAATATGCGAGCAGTACGAGCGATACGTGTAGCAGAAGGCAGCAGTGAGTCGGAATCGGATGTGAGTACCTTGGATCAAGAAGACGAATGTCGTCGCATGTACCTTGCGGAAGCCAAATACCGGGAGAACCACACGATCACGCCGACGCACAGAGACGGCACAGTCGATCATCCCATAATGTCCCAGAAGAACTGTACCCACTGCGGATCAACGAAGCACAACAACCTGGGTTGCTGGAAGCGGTGACGTGCCAAAAGTGCGGCAGGAAGAGCCATCCATCCGATCATTGTCTTTTCGTCTATCGCGCATGTGGAGAGATGCATGAATCCGGAAAGTGTCCGATGGAGGAGTTCTACAACTTGATCCGTCAATGGTACATCCCGACCAAGCATGCGGGAATGTTGCCAGCTAATGCCGAAAAGATGCTAAATTAGAACGCTCGCCAGGTTGGAATCTAGTACGAGCCGGGCGTTCTGAGATCCGCATTTATGCATACGTCGAGAAGCGGAAGACACGGAAGGTTAGTAAGCTGACCGACAATACATGTGAATTGCACGAGAAGCGTACGTTTACAGTCGCAAGTTCGTGAGAGAATGATTATTCTCGATCTGATGTGATCATGGAACTGGGCATACGACCAGGAGAATCGCTAGGGTACTGGAAGTACCACGCTCCAGGTAAATGGTTCAAGCAAGCCAACTCAACCGCCAAGATCAACAACAAAAAGGCCACACTCTTTTCGACTCTGGAGCTGAAGTCTTCATTGTGGATTCTACTTGTGCTCGTAAGGTCGGATGCGCTATAGACGACAGCCAAAAGCAAAGTGTGTTGGCATTAGAGAAAAAGCGTATATGACAGAGGGACGCACCCGGATCAAGATCACGCTCGCGGGAGCGTACGTGTACTACTTTGACGCTTGGGTCGGAGAACTGTCAGGTCAGGAGGCGATATTAGGGATGGATTTCAATGTACCGGCAGGAATCCGCCTTGACATGGCCGACGGGTCGCTGTACCTCCCGGATGAAGTAAGGATCCAGCTGTCCGGGCGTCGTCGGCTCTTTACCGGAAGCTCAAGGTTGCTCACCTTCGATTAACACTACAAGATCCCGGGTGCAAGGTCGGTGGAGATCGCCATTCCCAGATCTGTGTCTGACAAACAGAAACTGTGGGTCACCCGTGGAGAACAGTGGGTACCGACCGCAATCAAGGGAATAGGCCGTACACAGAACCTGCGTATAACAAATGTGTAAGAACGATCAGTGACGTTACAACTCGATACTAGAGTCAGTATCTGGCTGTCAGGAGAGTACGTACCGCGAATGCCAGGTTTTGTCTCGATCGGGTCACGGAGACACGCTGAGTGTCAAAACTTGGCTCTGCAAGCCACCACTGAACAGCAGGCTGGTCGGAACTGCGACAGAACCAATGGTATACAGGCCCCAATACGAGCCGCCGACCAAGATCCTATCGGGTAGACAAGAACACCGGACGGCGATGATCGTCCTGTCGGTGTCTGCAAAGGAGTCGAACACTGCACAAGATATCGCGGGCGAAGAGTCGGCAGGGTTTCAACCGAAGGAAGAGGGTCGTATCAATACGACTTAACCAAAGGAAGAGACCAAGAGTGATCGAGAACAGCCGCGATCAACGGAACAGAGAGGGACGCAAGCTGAACCAGAAGAAGAAGCTGACGACGACATGGATGACGCTGTCTGCTATCGTGAAGGGGAAACATCTTCCCTGAAGACATCGAGAATAACATGGCTGTCCTGCCGGAAGTAGATGCTACCACGAAGGAAGTCACCATCAATGATATACGAGTAGATGACCCGCACGCGACCTCGGAGGAACATGGGCGACTGCGTCGCATCATCTGGAAGCGCCGCCACTTGCTGATAGAAGCCGGTAACGCTCTACCACCGGTCGCCTACGGAGCTATTTGCGACATTCATGTCGGAACTGCAAACCGGTAGCGCAACGCTGTCGATGGGTAGCGCCACAATGTCGCGAGAAGCTGTCAATGCTCCTCAAGGGACTGCTATCGGTTACGATCATCACTACATCCACCCCGTCTAGGGCGTCACCCATCGTAGTCATCATCAAGGCTAACGGGGTCGACATCCACCTCTGCATCGACTACCAGGTGGTGAACAGCCTGATGAGACTGATGGTGTATCCCATGCCGTTGATCAACGACCTCCTCGAAGATTTAGATAAGGCGCTATGGGATTGCTCCCTTGATATGGCCAGTGGTTTCTGGGTGGTATCAATGACCTCGCGAGCAAGGCTGGTGTCAGCGTTATTATACCGTTTGGGCTGTTCGAGTGGACGAGGATGCCGTTCGGGTTGAAGAACGCCCTCAGATCTATCAACGAACCGTCGACAATGCATTATACGGTCACATGCGTATCAAGCCTGATCAGGATAGATCGAACCCCGTTGACGTCTTCAAGGAAGGAGAGCCGGAGCCGGAACTTAAGCCATCGGTACTCGTGCGGAGGTCATACGTGGACGACATCCTTGTGACCGGCGACACTTGGGAGAGCATGTCCAACAGTGTCGTCAAGCTGTTCGGCATCTGTGACCGGTGGGACATGTCAATCAGCGTAGCTAAGAGCTACTGGGGTCGACGCAAGGTGGCATATCTGGGACACGAAGTATCCTCAGCCGGTCTGGAAGCAAAACCGAAGGAACTCGAAACAATCGCCAATCTTCCTTTCCCCACAAAGTTGAAAGGGATGCAGTCATTCCTCGGAAGCTTGACTTATTACAGTCGTTTCATTGAGGACTTCGCAGTCTACGCCGTGATCCTGTACGAGCTGCGGGAAGCGGACTGTCACGAAATCGCCAGGATGAACTCAGAAGGGACTCAGAAGACGCGAGCTGATGACGGCCTAATAACTGGGGGCGAGCGCGATAGGTGGGCAAGAGCGAAGAATGTATTCACTATGTTGAAAGCAAAGATTATCGTCACGCCAGCCTTGAAACACTTTGACCCAGAACGTACTCCCGTCATCGTGCTCTATGCAAACAAATGGGCTATATCGGCAGCATTGATGCAGGAACCCGAAGGTGTATACCATCCGGTGACCTCCACCAGTCGCACGCGGAAGGCAAACGAACTCAACTATGAAGTGATAGATAAAGAGATATTGGCTCTTCTGTGGATCTTGTTACTCACAACTGATAACCAGCTCGATCAAGGTCCTATCGCGATTCTCAACCTTGGCCTGGTTGCTCAAGTCGAATGGGTTTGACGGTCGATTGGGTAGGTGGACAGCACTGCTATCAGGATGGACGTTGGAGGTCACCAAATGTGTAATAGGTGAAGAAGAAATCCTTGGAACAATCGTAGCTAGCATCACTCCCAGCGTCAATGTGGATGAAGCCCTAGTCGTGTTAGCACCAAAGAAACAGCCACGCAAAATGATCACCATGCCACCGCCGACGATCGAACAGGACGAGAATCTCTTGGTGGTAAGTTCTGATGGATCTGCGCGAGTAAAACGCAGTGGCGGCTCGTGTAGCGCAGTCGTCTGGAAACCCCCGGAATGGACGGTCGTAGAGGCCATGTTGGAGTACATGCCTGACTTGATGGTGAACGAGGCGAAATATCGTGGAATGATACTTTGTTTCGATTTGCTCTCGACTTTGGACAGGCGGCGCGTCGTAATTTGTGGTGACTCGAATTTGGTGATTCGTCAGATGCAGAGTGAGATGGACTGCAAAGCACCAGGCTTGTAACTGCTCCGACAGAAGACACAAAACCGGCTGCGTTCATGGCCGAAACATGAGTTCCTCCTCGTGAAGCATGAATGGAATCAGAGTGCTTACAAGTTAGTAAGTGCGGCGTTACAACGGGAAGAAGGTGAAATAATCACCTCAGAAGACGACCGTCAAGATTGGATCACCTTCAACCGACTGGGCGAGATGCTAAAACCAAAGCTGATTGACTCAGTCGTCCGCGTAAATGCAATCTCCCGATCCGCTTAGAGACGACGTCACGCACCGAAAGCGATGGAAGAGTCTATCATACAACGCATACGGTGTCAGGGGATCAGGCAGGCTCAGGATGAAGAAAAAGGATGGAAACCTGAAGAAGTACCTGTACGGGGAGGTGAATGCCTTGACGGCAGAAGAGGCGAAGACATGTTCGAAGATTGCTGCAAATTATGAAGTAGACGAAAATGGGCTGCTCTTCTTTTGCCCCAAAACGCTGCAAGGTGACGAACACCGCGATGGAGTCGTCAGGATGGTGGTACCCGAGAGCTTGCAGGGATATTTCCTTCACCATTATAATGCCAGTCTGGAAGGAGACCAGCAAGGTGTCGGAAGGATGTACCGGAGGATCCAAGTGAACTTTCACTGGCTTCGGTTGTATCAAAGTGTACAACATTACGTAGGGGAGTGCACCGATTGTGAAACCGGGAAGGAAACGCCAACGGGTCAGGGAGAGTTACCAGGGAATATACAGGGCACGTATCCTTTTCAGGTGATCTCCATGGACCACATTCCGTCTTTGCCGAAGTCATTCAAGGGGAAGACCGAGCTGCTGATTTGGGCCGACTTGTTTACGGGTTATGTAATCGCCAAAGCTGGACCGTCGAGAGAGTCGCAGGCAGTGGCCGAGAATTACGAAGAATGTATCTTCGGTCGTTTCGGCGCAAACGAAGTCATCAGGCATGATCGAGATCCGGGCTTTATGTCAGATTTTTTTCGTGCCTTCAACCGTATCGTGAAGATGAGGCAGAGTGCAGCAATAGCTTATCGTCCACAAGGGAACGGCAAGGCCGAGCGGGCGGTGCAAACCCTGAAACGAGCCCTGAAGATGTATGTTGCAGATGTCAACCAGCAAGATTGCGACGACTACGCAGAGCGGCTGATGTTTGCGTTGGATACGGCACATGATCGAGTGAGAGGAGAGATGTCGTTCTTTCTGGTCCATGGAAGGGATCCGCGGTCAACACTCGAAGCGGTTATTTCGGTAGTATTGACACGTCGCCGCGATCGCGATGCACGAAGGTGGAGAGGTACCACATACAGAGACAGTATCGCAGGGCCAGGGAAGTGATCAATGAGAGTCTGCGCAACGCGATCAAGTCTAGGGCTGACCAACATAACGAAAACGTTAGACCACACCGGATTGAAGAGGGCACACAGGTATGGCTTTACCTGGATCGCTTAAAGGAAGGTTACGCACGTAAGCTCGCACACATGTGGCATGGACCATTTCGCGTAATCGAGTTGGTTGACAACCACGCAGTCCGTCTCGAGACCATCGGTTCAGGGTATCGCATCTTCCGGATAGTGCACCTGTCGAAATTGAAGCCAGTGCGAACATTCCCAGATCGACCAATAGTTGTCTTGAACACCGAAGATATTGACTGGGTGGATTTCGATGAAGAATTGTTGCCGGACAATAGCTTGGAGACTCCACTGAACGAGGATGAATTCGAAGTGGAACGGATCGCGGATATGCGATCAGGAAGACGTACTCGCTATGGGCTGGTGCACCGAGAGTTCCAGGTCTATTGGAAAGGCTATGACCAGCCGGCATGGGTGGACGAGGCCGATCTTAATTGCGCCCGCCTTGTTGTACGAATACGATCGTGGGCGTGCCAGCCGCAACCGTTTCAATGTGATGCAATCGCATGAAGAGGGGACGGATGCTGATTAAGGCATCAGCGAGCTGAGGTCGTGTGTGGGGTGGCCACACACTGGGGGATAGGTATTTGTATAATGCGTGGAGAGCACCTGGTCACAATCGGGGGAAAGAAAGAGGAACATCAGAAGTTAGAAGAGAAGTCCAAATGATGGGTGGCACTACGTACCTCGGGTTGATGGACAGATATCGACGATCACGACCGATGACCAAAGTCGATGACCAAGATTGATGATCGAAATCGATGATCGAGATAGCTGATCGAAGTCACTGATCCGGATCGACGATCCGGATCGATGATCAAGATCACTGATCGAAATCGACAATCGAGATAGCTGATCGAAAAACGATGGTCAGGATCGATGATCTGGACGAATGACCTGGATCGATGGTCAGGATCGATGACCTGGATCGATGATCTCGATCGATGATTGACGTGAACGGTCGGAGTTGATGATCGAGCCGATGATCGGAGGGTAAGAAAACTGTGAACCAAGCCATGGGGGCGGAGATCAAAAGCGGGAGCTGTCAGAAGGGCGACTACTGCTGCGTGAGACGGTGTACAGAAGAGATGTTGGAGACGAGAAGCCATGATCAGGGATGGAGCATCTCTCCATTGCCCCGAGCAAGGAACATCCAAGACGGTCAACAGGTCACCAACACATGGGCCCACAACTACAAGGCAGGAAAGGTTAGCGTCGAAACAACGAATGAACCAGCTCAACACAGCATAATACGAACAAGATCAAGACGGACGCAGTTAAGAGACGCAGGGCACCAGCCATGTTGATCAATTTGCCCGAACAAGAAGCTACCCCAGAGAAATGAACTTGCCCTCAAGACGAGGGAGTTGGGGCCCGGGATGATCTTTGATAGCGTGGCGAAACTGGTTACGCCAAGGATTTTGGCGGTCAACGTCACGAAGAGCTTGAAAAAAAGTTAACAGGCCGCGGGTTACAATGCAAGCCAGGGTACCACTTCGACCGCCCACCAGCGCGCGGAAAACGGAGGAAAATGGGATCCAGCAGAATGCCAAGGTCACAGTGTCCAGCCACGATGCTCAATAATACGAACTTCAGGAAGCTCTTCCAAGCAGTGTCAAAACGTGACCGATGTTGTCTGCGGTCCACGTAAAGGATCGCAAAGTATTTGACGGCACGCCGCAGTTCTTCCGAGATAGGGAAGAAATGGGTGGATTCCCACGCAACTTGACAATGTTTCGTCTGCAATTCTTCCAGTTTCTTTGACAGGGTCTGGAAGGGGGGACTATTCTTTACAAAGGAGATGGGCGTCACTGGGTTTGCGAGGACCCGCCATGGATGGAAGCGTAGATTGCCAAAACGTTACTTTCGTCCAAAAGCTCCACGTCCCAATCGGAGTCCCTAGGCACCTTCTCTTGCTTCGGAAATAGTCAGTTGGGAGGCTTCGAGAAGCGGCTGAACAGCATTGCGACGTCAAGTCCAAGTACGCTGATTTGCGAGACATCCAACAACGGTCAGGGAGCTGCGTCAGCTACAGAAAAAAACTACGCGAGTACGGTATCCAGGGAGTCAGTGCGATCGGTCGACACGAGTTGCAGGTAACTGGGCATGTGAAGCAGGCGTCAACAACTCGTTGCTGGACACCAGGTTAGACCCACTGCCTGAATCGGTCGCTACAGAGTCACTGGTAGTGTCAACACCAAAGACTCTTCTGCCATCAACAGGTGTCCTAGCGCTGTCGGCACGAGTGTTATCACCATCGGTGTCGTCTGCGTCCAACTCAATCGGCTGATCGCTCGCAGTGCCAGCGAGATCAGACGAGGCCGGAAGAGGTGTCGAGGCACGACGACCCGATAGAGCACTCATCACAGAGTCATCACTGCCGACATCACGGTGGTGATCGACCGAGCCGAGCTACGCATCGCCACGTCGAAGACGACTCAGCGATGGACCTGAAGGCGAGGCGAGAGGCGGTGATGGATCTGCATCGTCACGACGAGGAGGACGTAAACCGCGGAGAGTGGTAGTACCGTGACGTCCCGGGAAATCAGCACCGCCAGAGACGGACACGTTGTCATTAGCACTGGAAGGAACAAACTCCGAAGAATGGTCGTTATGGTGAGGGGATCCATGCCGGGATTTCGAATGCGGAGGAGGCGTGACAGTGTCAGGATCATGAGCGGAACGACGTTTGCGGTTGACTCGTTCCTGGGGTCGATCGCCAGTGCAGAACAAATCGGCAACAGGAGCCTCTGCCGTAGAGGCGACAGCCGGGGCCGGTTGCGCCAAAGATATTAGACCCGCGACTTGGGAGCACAGTGCAAGTAAGTCGAGAGAGACTTGATCGCGCTCTTCCTCAGCGACGTGAC